GCTCTTATTCATCAGCAGCCCTCTATCTTCCCTGGCTGCCTCCCCTGTGCCCATCTACGGCTTGTCGTCCTGCCTGCCTACACACGGCTACCATCCTTCAGCCTGTCATCCATCAGCATCAGCTCCATCCATCCATCCATTCATCCAGGGCTGCATCCTCTCCATCAGCACACGGTCCACGGCATCCAATCCATCCGTCCATCACATCCAGACACATGCGTCCACACTTCCAGTCATCTGAGCCGAGCGCCTTCATCAGGGCCACAGACAGGGGCGAAGGGCATCGTGAGCACTTCGCAACATTCCTTCCCGACCATTTCCGTGGATTTCCTGTCATTCCCGGAGCAATGTGACCTTATGGAGTCGAAGCCCATTTTCCTTCCTTCTCCAAAACCGGTTCCCGTGACCCGAACCCGAAACCCGAAACCCGATACCCGAAACCTCCAGAGAAGGGACGTGCAAGAGTCAGCTGTGACCCGAGACCCGATACCCGGTACCCGATACCCGATACCCGGACCCGATACCCGATACCCCATACCCCACACCCGACCATCCTAGCCAACCCGATCCCAATTGGGGGCACCCCGGACACGGACCCCAAACTGTCTCGGGGGGCGGTTGCCCCCCAATCGGGTTAGGGTTCAGGGTTCGGGTTTCGGGTGGGGGCAATACGCCCCGGGGGTAATATTAGGCAGAGTAAAAACTGAAAGCTTCCAGATGCAGCGCGTGAAAGTGTGGAATCGCTCGGAGAGAGAGCGGGCAATGCAGGAGCCGAAGGCGGCCCCAAGAAGAAGGGGCACCACCACGGTCCCCCCCGTGCCGAAACAGCTCAGCCCCTCGCTCAACACCCTTCGGCCGCTGGGCAAGCCAAGGCGGAGCAGCCAAGGCGGAGCAGCCAAGGCGGCCTCCGCAAAATACGGCAGCGCGCCTCGGCAGGAGCAGGACATCCTCGGCGCAGTCAATGTCAAAGATGGTCTTTTTGTCGGCGATCAGCTATCAGCGCATGATATTGAATTTCTTCTGAACCACAAGGTCTCTCACGTCGTGAACTGCGCTGGGCGCGAGGTGCCCAACAGCTATGAGAGTATCGGCATTCAGTACCTCACTTACTTCTGGCCGGACCATGACAAGCAGCTGATCCTGGACAACCGAGATCAGGTTGCCAACGATGTGGCGGCGTTTATTCAAGAAAGCGTCGATGAGGGCGAGTCAGTCCTCATCCACTCCTTCCGAGGGCAGTCACGGTCGTGTTGCATCATTGCCGCTTACCTGATGAAGAGGTACCAATGGTCACTGCAGAAGACCATCGAGTACCTGACGTCTCGTCGAGGCGACATTCGGATCAAGCCGGGATTCATCCAGCAGCTCAAGGACTACGAAACGAGGCTCTTCGGACCCAAGCTCAACAGGATACGGTCCGTTGATTGGACCGGCCCTGTAGCCGACCTGGACTCGGAGCAACTTTTGCTAAGGAATGCCTACATTAACTCACGAAAGGACAATCTTGCTTCGACGCAGCCGTCGTCGCCGAGCGCGCAGTCGCGTCCCGCGGACCTTCAAACGGCACGCGTCGTCTGTCGTGGACGGACGGCGGCACGGACGACAAGGAGCGCCTCGAGACGATCAAGGAATTCTCGTCAGCAGCAGCTCCCCTCTCTAAAGACCCGCCCAGTTACAGCACCGTCAGCGGCACCAAAGCCACCCTCAAGTCCATTTTTAAGACGAGAGTCGCCAGCGCCACCACCCCGTCGCCCTCGGTAGCTAGTGCCACCTTCGTCGCGGCCTCAGCATCATCGTCCACTGCTCTCGCTGCGGCCAGCTCCACCGGCAAAAACCGTAGCTCCAGGGTCTCTGCGGGCCAGTCCCTTCGGCCAGCAGTTCGTCGGTAGCCAGGCCCACACTTCAGCGAGCAGCAACGGTGTAGTGTCGTCATCTGCTTTCTTCCAGCAGCCGCCTCAGCCGATGGCCCCTCAAATCGGTCAGACGTGCACGCAGGCAACCAATGGAGACGTGCCCGGGGCCCTGAATGCGCGTCGGGAGGTGGCCATGGGCAGCGAGCAATCCAGCGGGGCAAAGAGGCAGGGGACAGCCAAAGAGACGTCCGGTAGCAACCTCAGTGTCGGTGTCTCGGGGGCCACCGTCGGGCCTGGGTCCACAATGGTTCCTGCCAAAAGCTGTGTGGTGCATCGCCGCCAGAGGAGAGGAGGCACTACCACGGTCCCCCCCGCGCCAGAACAACACCGCCACTTGCTCAACCCCTTCCCTGTGCCGAAGCGGGCGGATGTCATTCGACCACTGGACAGGAGAAAGCCACGGTGCCCTCCTAAAGTGGCGCCAACACCAGCAGCGGCGCGCGTGAGAGTTGTCGGACGCACCAGCAGCACATCGCCAAACCTAACCTCTCGGCCCCGCTGCAGTCGAGTCGGCGTCCAGGGCGCTCAGACGGCCCCAAAGTGGGGTATCCCAGTGCTTACAAGCAAGGAGGACAAAGCCCACCAGAAGGCGCCCGTCCGGGGCGCCGAGAAGACATCGGCACAGCAAGGAGCCGGAGTAGCCAAGGCGGCCTCAGCAAAATACGGCAGCGCGTTGCCGAGTCGGGCGGCACGTACGTCGGCAGCTGGGCCGGGCGAGTGGCAGATCCTGTGGCCAGAGAAAAAGGAGGACAGTGGCCGAGACACAGAGGAGGCGGACCTAGGAGGGGGGCAGGAGCAGGCCAAGTCGGAGACACAGCGCCAGGAGATTAAGCCGTTGCCAGACCATCAGCCGGCACAAATCGTCCAGCGCCAAGGAAGCGATGCAGAGCAACAGCCGGCAGGCCATCTGTTGGTGCTGGCTGGACAAGAAGAACAGCCCGTGGAACAGAAAGAGGGCGGATGTCGGGGTCGAGAAGAACACGGAGGAGGAGAAGGTGCCAGCGGAGGGACACACAAAGCATGGACAGCAGAGCCCACATAACAACGCCACACACGGATATGGTTTTGTTGCTTCAAGCACTGCCGCGCCGCCCGCAGCCAGTAACTTCAAGTCGCCTCGAACCCCTATTTTCGGGCCGATCGCTGCCAAGCAGACGCCACCCACCCCACCAAGCATCCACCACCACATGTGGAACAATCCCATTCAGCAGGTGAGACACACACACAGACGCATCACGGCTTTACGTGTGCCTCTGCATACACAACAGAGAGTTGTCAACCGGGAAGTCAGCAGTGTGCTGCCCAGCGCCCGGGTCCCCAACCGCTCCTCGCAGCGGGGGACCACAACAATCACAACAGATGTGCTGGACAGTGCTGAGCAAGATGATCTTGGCGGCGGCGTGGAGGCCATGGTCCCAGCCATTCGGCAGCTGACGGTCGACGAGGAGGAGATGGCTGGCGCCCAAGGACGTCGAGCCACCGCCGAGGTGCCGCAGCCCCCCAAAGCAGCGGTAAGAGCCAACACGGCATGGCTTTCATAGAGGATGGGCTCATCCACCTATTTGCTGTGCTGTGTGTGCAGCCGCGACTCGGTACGAGTCGTCAGGTGTTTTCTCCCCCCGGCACACAAAGCCGGCCGTTTGTCCACCCCACCAACCATGCCAGCCCCAGAATGACGAATCCAAAGCCAGTGGTAAGAGACGCGGGGCGGCCACAGGACGCTCATGTGTGACCCATTGTGTCTCTCTGTGTGCGTGCAGGTGAGGCCCGGTGCAGGCCTTCTGCCCGCTGTGCCACCGACAGGCGCACCTGGCCACGGTAGACGGCTGCCCCCCCAGCCCGGGCCACTGCC